AATATCTTTCACCTCAGTGCATCAATCAAGATCGAGGAAGCGATGAAGACGAAGCTTACAACAACCAGCATGGTAGTCACAAATTGTCAAAATCAAAAGCAAAAAAAATGAAATTCAAGAAAAAAAATGAAAGGCCGCTAAGTCAAATCAAATCAAAACTTTACTTAAGCAAAAGTTAGGGCATCCCGATGGATAAAAAAAAAGAGAATTCCAAAAAAACTGGTCCATGCAGAAATAAGGGATTGAAAATAAAAAGTTTTGAAAAAAAACAATCTTGTGACTGCCACCTCAAGAATAATCAAGGCTTCTCATCAACGCTTGGATCTTATCAATTCTTGAATCTTATCAACGCTCATATCTTATCAACGCTTTTCATCGGTGCTTGGATCTTTATGTACGCTTCTCATCATCTGCGTGACTACGAACTTTATCTTGAGGATTAAATGCATATGTGGGATTAATTGGACTTAGGATTGAAGAACATCAAGGAGATTGGGGGAGGGATAAATAAATTTTGAGCCTTATATCTTTTGTTTCTTAAACCATGAACCATGACCATGTTACAACCTTTAAAAGTCCTAATTGAGGCTAGGTTCACTATGAAAGCATACTCAGCAAGATTTGTGTTAAACTGACTCCTATGGTTGTTAAAATTATTTCTAACTACTTTGCTTCTTCGAATATTCATCTTCTAACGTTCCATTTCTTTTCAAATAATCAATTTTGATTTCAAGAACTTACATGTGCATCAAACGGAATTACTTTTTCAAAATGTACCATTTTATCTGCAAATCAATACTTAGCATCAAAGAGATTTCAAAAAGGCCTGATCAAAGGCCACACTTTCCAAGAAGCTCCTAACTGGGGGAAAATCATCTAAGATGACTCCCATAAATAGGGGCAAAGACTAATAATAATAGGGGTATATTACATGAAGGTACTATTGACAAGGGGCAATCATTCTTGATTTTCAATCAATTCAGATCAAATTTCAAAGCATTGTTCAACAAGGGGCATACCCTTTAAAGAAGCATTCCTTAATCGAGTCACATGATAATAGGTTATGACTCGATTTCCTCATGTTAACAAGCTTCTCAAGGCATTGATGATCAGGGGTAACCTTCCAAGATTCAAATGTTGGGGCAATACGTACCAAGTTCATCCTACTGCACGTAGGGTCCAAATTCACATTCAAACAACTTCAAGTACAAACTTTTCAAGTTCTGAATACTTGGGGAAACCTATGACAAGTTCATGGCAAGGTCTAAGTTCCTTCTAAAGATACCTCCTTCAGATCCTGGAGATTGAGGGGCATGTCTTCCAGAATTCGAATGTTGAGGAAAACTACTGCGAGGCTTGAGCAAAAGGGGTTGATTTAAATGGTTCATCAAATCCAAGCCTTTTCAAGGATCTTTTAATCAGGGGCATAGTAAAAAAAATAAAAGGGGTCATTCATATTATGATAAAACTATTTCTAAGCTCATATCAAAGAGTCTATCTTCCACGACCCTACCAACAAATTAGGGAAAACAGTCCACACAGGGGCAAGCTCTCCGCGTTCTTTCACAACCTCCAAGGGACCTCTCTTCTACGTCAGCAATCTTCGAGTTCGAAACGACTATCAAGAAATCATGCAAGCGCAACACTCTACCATCATGTGACAAGCAACCTTGTTGCATAAGCAAACCTCTACGCTCTAATCATCCACGACCCATCACAGGGGCACCCAAAAAAACATCCAAGTCATAATCAAAAAGCATAAGTCTGCATAAGTCATACACTAGGGCTCCTAGATCCAAAACCAAGCCATACTATCATATGACAAAGTCCGACAGCATGGGTCAAGCATATCTCAAAAAGCCCAACTATGCATTCGCATTTCAAAGTCCAACATCCATTTACACGTATCCAAGTCATTCATCACATGCATCAATCAATCGTCATATTTCATGCATCAATCAATCGTCATATTTCATGCATCAATCAATTATCATATTTCATGCATCAATCAATCATCTCATTTCATGCATCAATCAAACTCACACGCATAACATAAAACCTTGTTTTATGTAAAGACAATCATCATTGTCAATCAAGATACAAATTCCAAACCGAATCTCGACAGTAGATTCTCCTGGTTGATCATGGCAGTTGATTATCCGGAAGACCTCTGCAGCAAGTAACCCAAACTGAATCTCGACAGTAGATTCTCTTAGTTGATCACGACAGTTGATTATTCGGAAGACCTCGAGAGAAGGTAATTCAAATTGAATCTCAGTAGTAGATTCTCCTGGTTAATCACACAGTTGATTATCCGAAAGACCTCGATAGAAGGTAGTTCTCAAAAAAATCTCGACAGTAGATCCCTTGGAAGTCTCGACAATAGATTTCCCATTAAGAGCCTCACGTTATGCATATGCATCATGCATAACAACTCTCGAAACCCACTACGAACAGAGCCAATATCTTAGGGTCCTCTGTGAGTTCTTACCACGGTTAGAAACAAATAACCAGGGAAATTCGTTCTCATCTCTGATTTAGTTATCTAAGAGGTGGATCACTCAAAGAAGCTTCCTTCATATTCAAACTTATTGTGTCAGTCTCTACGCAACAATATGTTTCTTAGCTCATTGTGTCAGACCCCAGGCATCAATGTTGCGAAATTAGCAACTCCACCCATTGTGTCAGTCTTTACGCGATAATGTGTGAATTATTCTATATTTAACTTATTGTGTTAATCTCTACACATCAATATGTTTCTTCCTTAGCTCATTGTGTTAGACCCCAGGAAGCAATGTTGTGAAGTCAGCAATTCCACCCATTGTGTCAGTCTCTATGCGACAATGTGTGAATTCTTATTGTGTCAGTCTCTACGCAACAATATGTTTCTTTCTTAGCTCATTGTGTCAGACCCCAGGCAACAATGTTGCGAAGTCAATAATTCCATCCATTGTGTCAGTCTCTATGCAACAATGTGTAAAATTTTCTATATTTAACTTATTGTCTCAATCCCTATGCAGTAATATGTTTCTTTCTTAGCTCATTGTGTTAGACCCCAGGCAGCAATGTTGTGAAGTCAACAAATCCATCCATTGTGTCAATCTCTATGCGACAAGGTGTGAATTCCTCTATATTTAACTTATTGTGTCAGTCTCCACGCATCAATATGTTTCTTTCTTAGTCCATTATGTCAGAATCCATGCAACAATGTTACGAAATCTGCAATTCAACCCATTTCGTCAGTCTCCATGCAAAAATGTCATTATCAAACCTTCTCCATTGCATTAGTCTCCATGCAACAATTTTATTATCAAACTCGCTTTTGCGATATAACCCATTGCATTAGTCTCCATGCAATAATGTGTTATCAAACTTTATTTTATCCATCCCCTGGGTCGCGATGAATAAGCAAAAACCAAATCAAACTGAAACTTACTATATTAGTCTCTGAGCATTAGTAAGTCGACTTTTTCAAACTTGTATCATTTACTTCCTAAAAGTACTGTAAATATGCAAATTTCTGCAATCTCCTTTAGATGTCGACAAGTTATACGTGTCGTCATGGATAAATCAGGTCGAATTCGGTTCAAACATTGGATGATACATCATCATTTACACCTTTTCTTCGTACCCATAGGAGCACTGTACGGTGTATCCTATAATCTTTCGGAAAAATTTTGGGGTCTTCCAATATTTAATAAACTTCCGATCTGAACATGCGAGACCTGCGTATTCTCGCACTATTCAATTGAAAGATAATTAAATAGGGGCAGTTGTCATACCCCAAATCTGTCCTACCCTCTTCTAGATATCATCTGGCTTATATATTTCATGCCCCTCATCTAACACATCATTAATCAATGAAAGTAGGCATGGGATCGAGGAGTCAATGAAGTTGGGGTTCCACATGGTTTGAAGGCTCCTTTTATCAGACAAGCCTAGTTCACCTGCCTATTTTTGGACATTGGTTTGTGTCACTAGAATTCTGTCATGATCATTATAAAGTTCCTATTTTTAGTAGATTACAAGGTTTTCATCTGTTAACAAGAGCAATGTTATTAGGGTTTTAATACTGACTTTCAATTTAAATTTGTGAATTAAGATATGGTGCACGAGATGATGGATTCATCATGAGCCTGTTATCTTTGTGTTCCTTTCTTTGACTAATAGATTGATTACTTAAAAGACAAGTTAATATGGTCTTAGGGTTGAATTCCCTTAAAAAAGGAAGTATAGACTAAATTTGAGATTAGTATCTTTTTTTAAGAGGGTCATGAGATGATCAAATATTATTCCATCAAAGACAAAAGGAATTTTTCTCAAAATAATATCTTTTCAGGTATGAACACAAACTTCTAGCATTCTTTCCATTTATTAAATTCATTCAAACTTATCCAAGTCTACCATAAAGGCTATCAAGATGGGATTATCCAAAGGCAGAAGGAAGAGTTTTTTAATGTAAAGGAGAATTTTTAAAGTACTTATGGATTCTGGTATTTTATTCGTGAAATAATACAAGGTGTAATTACTTTCTTGTTCACTTACAGTAAAAAAAAGAAAAGAAGAGAGTGTTTCAAGTTCAAAACCAGTATTAAATTACATCATTACAACGACATATTTACAGGGGTTTTACAGGATAAGAGCTTTACATAAAACTACTTTTTCTAAGACCTAAGCTTATCCTAACATGTTCATAATATCCTAAGATTCTACATATCCAAAATCTCTAATCTGTCTTTATGCTTTTGCTCCTTTAAAGTTTAAAGCCTCCCCCATGGCAAACTTCTGGTCATGACGTCACACCTACCAGAAAAGCCCTGCATCAGTACTAGACAAAACAGAATGGATATATATATATATATATATATATATATATATATATATATATATATATATATATATATATATATATATATACACACCAAGTATAGCCTGCTAATCCAATAAATCACGGCAAAGCAAACATAGAAGATCAGCTACGAAGAAGAACCAGTTTTAGCCATACCAAAGATGTTCAACTCATCTTGCATCGCTTCAGTTTCTCATTCCACGGTCGATGGAAACCAGTATCCTGTATGTCACAAAAGAAAACAAGTTCAATGAAATAGTTAATTTCAAAAACCAGCAAAAGGTAGTTTGCAACCAATGCATAAATAGATATCAGAATTGAGAAGAAGAATTAAACCAGAACATGGCTGTTAAGTGTCGAACCAAAATTAGAAACGTAATTTATTCACAATTTGAAAATGTGTTATGATCCAAGACAGGGCATTACTTAATAATCAAACACAGAATCATATATATACAGCTGGATCAATATTCATTAAACAAGAATCAACAAATGCAGGAAACACAATCAAGTAAATCAGCTAATTGCAGAAACGAATCAAACGCAGTAAATTATAGAAAAAAGCAGAATATCAATAAAACTAGAAACATTTTAATGCGAATCAATACCATGTTCAAAATTACAGACACAAATTCGAAAAGTTTCCAAATCTAAAAACCTAATCATTTCGGAAATTCGAAATTGCAGACAGAGTTATTGATTCCCTTTTTTGTTAAAGACAAAACATTGATTATTTTCCCTAAATCTAAAAGCCCTAAACGCTATAAATTCAGAAAAATTACAGAGACAGGGGGAGGACAAGAGTACGGAGGGGAGCGAATCTTATAAAAAAAGAAGAACTCGGTCGCGAAGTTATTATAGAAGAAGAAGTGGCAACTGGGGTTTCGATATCTGAAACCCTAATTGTCGTCGTCTCCGCCGCTCTCATCACCGTCATCTCCGCCGTAACTCGTCACCATATTCAATCGCTTGACACCGCCACAGCCACCTACAAAAGAGAAGGAGAACTGAGGATCAACACCAAATTGAAACAGCCCAAGAATCAAAATCTGAACAATCACGAAAGAGGGTAATAATTAGCTTCTTATTATTGTTTGTATTTTGGGTTTCTGATGGTGGGGTGGTGGTTCAATCGCCACCGTGGTAGGGATTGGGAGTTCTAGGGTTTGATTAGGAAAGATGGAGGGTTCGTGTTGGAACGCGAGAGAGAGGAAGAAGCTTGTTTTACTGTAAACAGAACTGAAAAAATGAATTAAAACAAATTATGTGATTCGTTCCAATCATATGCGCCTCGCCTACGATAGCTAATATGGTCCCTCAATTTTGACCGTGGATTCTGATCAGACGACCGCTAGGCCAGGTCTGCACGATAAGCCATACTCCCGCCACACTCAATCACCAAGTCCTCCCAATTTGCGTAGTGGGCCTAAGCCCAATGCTTTTAGCACCTCCCTTTGCCTAATTTCTAAACATCATAGCGAATCACCCCCCTGTTTAGAAGCGTTTTTTGGGCCCATCCAGATTACTAATCAGCCCCTTTATTTTACTTGCTTACATAAAACTACACCCACTGCCTAAATTAATTATTTTCTACATTTTTACAATATTTTGATTTTCTTTTTTTATTATTATCATTATTATATTTTTATATGTAAATATTATCTAGTTCTTTTATAAATAATAATAATAATTAAAATTAATTTTTATTATCATATTTATTATTATAGTATTATTATTTATTATTGTAAATATTACTTATATTAATATGTAAATTATTTTATTCAAAATGCATATAGTATTTTATTACATTGTTTGCATTAAATATTTTTTTTAATCATGCATTAATAAGATATTTTGCAATTCATACGATTAAAAAATACGCAAACAAACGTCAAACTATTTTTTGTAATAAATTTAATTCAGACGGTTAATTTTCAACAAGGAATACAAATAGTTTTTAATTAACTTCGCCCTTAGTTCAAAATCTCCGCCATCCACACATTCGAACTAAGTGCGACGAAAATTAAAATATCGGTGTAATCCATAAAAAACACAAACCCCCGCGAACTACGAAATGTGACTCTGATTCCTCCTAGGAGGATACATAGGCATACGATCGAAAATCGTTGCGAGTCCCATTAACTAAAATTAAAACTCTTTTCCCCTAATAAAACTTAAAACCCTATTTCCTAAAACACGCTTCTAAACCTAGTATCCTTGTGAACAAGGTAGATAAGCGGTTCATAACACCTTCCCCTCGTCTAGAACCGAGTCCAAATCTAGAATCTATGAACTTTAGGATTACTCCTTTATACTCCCTTCCTTTAGGATAAAAATTAATGGTGGCGACTCTATAAAAAAACGAGTTGCAACACCACCAGATAAGCCAAAAATGGATGGAGATAACGTCAACAAGCAGCGTTTTGACTGCATCTGTTGCACCCCAAAATTTTCCCTCTCATTTTCACACAAGACATACTCCTAGAGGTTCCCAAACTTGCCCTAGGTTGACCAAGATTTGACCAGACAATTTTCCTCCTAAGGCAATGAACCCCCAACTAGGGTTTCAATTTTCATCAAGAAGGTTGAGCTCCAAGGATCCCAAATGATCTCCATTGTCCTAATATGTCGTAAAGATCATCCATGCCAAGTTTCACGCCTTGCTCAACAAGTTTGCTCAATCAATTCCTCAAGTATTAGAAAATCAACTGTGTTAGGTCAAAAGTCAACTGTGGCCCATGTACAATCAAACTTCAAGATTTTTGGTCAACATTAACATTTTGAAGTGATATCCATCATTTTATCAAGGGATGATCATGATTCCTCAAGAAATTCTCCTAACTCATCAAAAGTCAAAAATGGAAAATTAGGGTTTCTATAGGAAAAGTCAACCAAACTTTGACCAAGCATAACTTTCTCATACTTTGTTCAGAAATTTTCCAACCAAAGCTCATTTTGAAGAGAATTCAATTCCCTACAACTTCTCTTCAGACCCCAAGATCAAGAAATGCACCATTTGAAAGATATGAGCTCAGAAATTATAGGTCACTTTCAAAAATTCAACAAAAGCCACTTTTTTCCAAGACCTTTTACATCAAGAAAACATCTTCAAATGCAAAATTGATAAAAAGAGAGATCGAAGTAGACATCTTGCGCTTTCCAAAAAGTACCATATCATCATCATGAGAAAAACATTGAGCAAGTTATGGCTTGCCCAAGTTGGGAAATTTTGGAAATTTCAAGATTGGTGCATTAAGCAAATTTGAATTTTGTCAATGGCCTAACTTTTTAAGATTCAAATATCTTCCAGATGACCTCTAATATTATTTTGGCATGGTCTTATATTTTCTACCTATTTTTTACATGTTTATTTTAATTTATTTCAAGTAAATATAAAATAAATGGTATAAAATATTTGGAGATGGACTTAGACGTGTGGGCTAGTGTTTTGGCTTGCTTGGAGGCCGAAAGGTTCGTGCAAACCTGACTAGATGCATTGAACATGAAAAATGGCATGAATTATCAAATTTTGCAACTTTTCAAAATGGTGATAATGGCTTTAAACCATGGCTTTATGGGATTGATTCTCTCTTCATTATCTTGTCCCTTTCTTCTATGCTATAAGTACACCCCTTTGGTAAGCTAAACACATGCATATGCACTACACAAAAGCTCTACCAAACTTGCAAAAAATCATCCAAATCAAAACAAACTTTTCCAGCCACTTTCAGTCCCATTCCATTTCCTAAACGTGTTCCTGAGGTTGTCAGGGTTTGTTTCCAACCATCACTCAAGCAAAAACACGTCCAGAACTCGCCTAGCCAAGTCATTGTTTCTTGGTAAATTTTTGAATTTCTATCTCTTAATCTATATGTTATTGAATGTTTTGATGTTTTGATCCATGTTCAGGACCTTCATTAGGACAGGATAGATGCTTCACATGAGAGGTTTGGAGCCTAGAATGCCATATGCCAATGTTAGGGCATCCATGGCTGCCAAGGTCCAAACTCTTGATCCAAGGGTTTTCAGGCTAATCCAAGGCCAGATTTGAAATCAGCGCATGACTTTATGAAGGATATGGTTTTTTCTTTTTCTTTAGTTTGATTATTTTCCAGGATCACGTTTTGAGTTGGTCGGAGATGGTGACCGGAGTGTTGACTCCGGAAACCTAGACTTGTTGACTCTGGCGTGAAGTGTGTTAACTCCCCATTGGCCAGTCAAGGCAGCGCGCGCTTTTTTAATTTTCAAATAATTGCGTTAGTTTTATAATATAATGTTATCGTTTGTTTTATGTAAATGAATGACATAGCAGCACAACTGGCAAAGGCATATGTATGTGAAGAGAGAGACCTGGGTTCGAATCCTAGGTACAACATTTTCCATTTTTCTAATATTCCATACAAAACCCAGCGTTACACATGGCCAGAAGCGTATCATGGACCATCAATCTGAGCCATCAGATCACCACTGGATCCAGATCTAGCGCCTCCAATGTATATACCACCATGTACCCCTTCAGCTTGGATGCACAGGACCCTTGACAAAGGTTGTGGGTTCTGAGTTACTGGGCCCAACATTTTTTCTTAAACAGCACCCCCCTTGTTTATTATTTAACCCCAGGCACATTCATTTGTTTTAATATTTTCTTTTTTTTGATTTTTTACTTTCATTTATTTAATTAACCATAAAAAATCAGAAAAAATAACCAAAAATATTAGATTAGTATTTTTAATTAAACTAATTTTGTAAATAATTTTAATGAATATTTTAACTATTTTCTTTAATTTAAAATAAAATAGAACTTAGGATTTAATTGGATTTAATTAGTTTCTTTTCATAATAAAAAAAAAAAACATTAGACTATTTTTCTTAATTAATTTTTATTTTTTTAAATAGACTTTAGGATGTTTAATTTAATCATTTTTCTTAATTAAAACAAAAATCAAACAAATAAGTTTTTTTTACTTAGACCTTTTTTAGGTTGTTAGACGCTTCTTTCCATTTTCACGCGCGTTTATCTTACGCGCGCATTTTATATTATATTGTAACTGCTTACAATTGTAATAGTTTAGGACTTAAATTCCCGCACTTTTAATTCCGCACTTTACTTTTCGTCCATTATTATGTATCTACACCAAAGCCCTGTAATAGCGTAGGAACCTTTATTTCTCGCTTTTTTTTTACATTTTTTGTATGCTTGTATATAATTGCTAGTAAGTAGGAGTGCATGACAAGATTAATCAAATTAATCGTAAATCACTAACTTCAAGATAATATAACTGAAAAAACACACTTCTCACACTTGCATCCTTAGGGTATTCCCCACTCGGTTGCCTCGGAAATGGTCATGTCCCTCGAATGTAGGGATATCTTAGTAAAGACCCTCGGTATAAAAGTCATCATAAAAGATCATGGTCCCTAAACGTCCCTCGAGTTGCCTTTCGGTAAATGATCTTGTCCCTCGATGTTGCCTATATGATGGTAGTCCCTTCAAATGCTAAGATATACTTACCTATTTCCTTCAATGACCATAATGTCCCTTACGATTGTCCCTCAACATCCAACGATAGGGATACCTACTCACTAATAGTAGGATAGCACTATCTAAAGGAAAGGAGGAAAATAACGTCCTTTTTCGAGTAGGTAGACTATTCTTAAGTACTTGCTAAAAAACAAATTTTCACACTTACACACTTTCAAAAAAACTACTTTCAAAAACGCTTTATCACACTCTTGAGGACTGATACAAGAGTTACCATAAAGCAAACAAAAACTTTCAAAACACACAAACATACAAACAGTTTTCACAAAATGAGCAAGTACCTAAGACCCCGTGGAAAACCACAGATGGAAAGGGTGCTAATACCTTCCCTTTCCATAATCTACCCCCTTACTCAAAATCTCCAAAAAAAGGTATTTTTTGTTCTTTTTACCCTTTCCTTTGTTGGATAAAAGAAAAGTCGGTGGCGACTCTTGCTTACTGTGACATTTGCAAACACAAACGCAAAACCAATATATAACAGTCGGTTCTGCCATCGTATCACAGAACTGGAGACTCTGTTGGGGAATAATA